CCGCCTGGGCAACTTGGCAAGACCTCGTCTCTACAATAAATCAAAAATTAGCCGGGCGCGGTAGTGTGCGCCTGTAGTTCCAGCCACTCGGAAGGCTGAGGCGGAAGGATCGCCGGAGCCCGGCAGGTCGAGGTTGCGGTGGCCGGGAGTGGCCACTGCCCTCCAGTCTGGGCCACAGATTGAGACTCCAACTCAAAAAAATAAAAAATAGGCCGGGCTCGGTGGCTCTGCCTGTAATCCCAGCACTTTGGGAGGCCGAGGTGAGTGGATTGCCTTAGCCTGCGGGTTCGAGACCCGCCTGGGCCACTTGACGAGACCTCATCTCTACAATAAATCAAAAATTAGCCAGGCATGGTAGCACGCGCCTGTACTTGGAAGGCTGAGGCGGAAGGCTCGCTGGAGCCCAGCGGGTCGAGGCTGCGGTGGCCAGGAGTGGCTGCTGCACTCCACTGAGTGACAGAGTGAGACTCCAACTCAAAAAAACCCAAAAATAAATAAAAAATAAAATAAAAATCTGCTGATGAGGGAATGTAGCCAGTTTCCAAACTGAGTGCGGGAATAAAGCTTTCCCTCCAAATAGTTTGTTGGGTGCAGATCTATGTGCAGGATTGCTGGGTTATGAGGAATCACAGTGTACAGAGTTAACCCCGTGTGATTTTCAGATTTCTCTCCACAGAGCAGTTTTACTCAGAAAGTAAATGATTCGGACATTCTGCAGCGTGGAACACCTCAGCGCACGTATGAAGGCTGCAACTGGTTTTCCCTCCTGCGCGCGTCTGCTGCTGCTGAGGCCGCTCTCGCTCGGTCTCCCGGCTCTTTACTCCTGCTTCGCCGGGGCTCTTGAGACTCTCAGCTTCCCCCGGCCACGCCTCAAGCCAGCTCAACCCGCGTGCTGGGCTGCTTGGGCGCCGCGCCCCCTCTTCGCCAAGGGGGCCCCTGGAGAGCCCAAAGCGTCACTCCCGACGCGCGCCGGCTGTCGGGCGCGCTGGCCCGGCTGGCTGCGGGGTACGGCGACTTCGAACTTCGGGGTCGCGCAAGAGGAAAGGCCGGGCCCG